AGCCCTTCAGGAAAGTCAGGCTTGGGGGTGGCCAGCAGAGGCCACCTGCAGAGGTGCAACAGGAATGCATGGAGTTCTGCTTTGAGGGCAGTGGAGAGTTTGTGGGTCAAGATTAGCAGATGAACAATACAGGCCCTGTTGTGGTGAGTGTCTGCCATGGACTGGCTGATTAGGAAGGAGAAATAGGTCAGGCCTTTTTCATCTAACTGAAAGAAGCCTCATATTCGCAGGCCCTGGTCCTCATGGGGAATTTTGACCACCCCAGTATCTGCTGGAAGGACAACCCAGCAAGACACAGACCATCCAGGGTGTTTCGGAAGTGCATTGCTGAAAAATTCTGACCAAGATGATTCCTTTCCAACCCTAACCATTCTATGATTCCGTGATGATCAAGGAGCTGACAAAGGGAGGTGTTCTGCTGGACTTCATGCTTACAAACAAGAAACAACTGATTGGACATGTGGGTGGTGGGGCAGGAAATCACACATACCCTTTCAGTAAGCTGTGGGGAACTGGAGTCAAGTCATATGCTCTCCGCTATGCGAGTAGTGATATCCATTTAATTCCTAACAAAAATGTATTCAAAAGATTAGTGGCAGAACACTGGAAGCTGGAGCCACTCAGGACTAATGATACAATTACTCTATAAAGCCATTTGTAAAGCAATTATGTCCTATTGTTCTCTTTTGTTCTCTGTCTCTCTAAAAGTGAGCCATTTTGGCAGGCTGGAAGGTGAAGGCACTGAGCTGGCTGCTTTACATGAATATGAGTAATTTGTGTGCATATTTATAAAAGAAAAACGATGCTTTTACGATGGACTGAATTGTTTACATGTAGAAATCTCTGCAGAGAAACAGCTCAAGTTACAGCCTCTGATGTGGCCAGTGTTTTCAGGAGTCTTGGAGCTTCTTGCAGCAAGGGTTTGTGGGCTTGGTTTTCCCCCTCATCTTTTCTGCTTCTCTGGGCAACCTGTGCCACCTTCACAGGGAAGAACTTCTTCCTAAGATCTCATCTCAGTCTCTCCTCTGTCAGATTAAAGCCATTCTCCTTTGCTCTGTCCCTACATGCCTTTGTCAAAAGCCCCTTGGCAGCTTTTCTGTAGGCCTTCTTGAGGTATTAAGGTAGTATGTTAAAATTTGCCTTTTACTGTGAAGGAGTGGGCTCTACACAGTGCTAAGGGTTAGAAATCACTGTTGTTTACAGCATTCAGTGTTTCCAAGTGATGGAAACCTTTGCTCTCTACAACTTTGAAGGATGCATTATTGGATTAGGTGTCTAAGTGTTCCTCAGAGGAGCTCTGGTTTCCTCTCATTATTTTCTGTGGGCAAAATATTCTTAATAATATTTCACTACTTAATGTAGTGAAATCACTACAGTGGAGCAATTGAGTATGAAATGAATGATCTTGGATGACAGAAATGCTGGAGAAGTTGAAGAGAATTGTGTTTATCAGGTGTTAGTCTCCAGCTTGGCTTCCTGTGAATTGCTGAGGAACTTGTACAAGAAGAAATTATGCTCTCCAAGTATTTACCTTCTTGAATTTGTCTACATAGGAGTAAAACACAGGATATGAGAAGTGATTATGAACCACTGTTGAATAAGGGATCATAGAGGTTCATCCAGCTTTATCACATGTAACTGCTGTTCCCCGCATTAAAATCCTACATTCAAACCTTGAAAATCCCTGTTAGGTCATGCTCTGGAGTTTCCAGGAAACACTGAGTAGTCTCTAATGTTTTTCCCCTTGTTTTTTGTCTTCCAGATAGGTTGCATGGTGGTGCTAGGATTGGATTTTCCCTCCTGCTACATGGTGGTAATACTGATCACTTCCAGATCTTTGACTGGGATGTTCTGCTTCTATGAATGCAGAATACAGCCTGGGGGAGGTACTGGGCATCTTACCTGGCTCAATTTTAACTTGTTCAAGTTTTTTCTGTCTTGATTCCTTTTCCCTTGATCCTGCTTTGCTTTTCAACCTCGATGAACAGGCTTGCTGATGGAATCTAACTAGCAATTTTCTGTGTGGTGTGAATTTTGCTTGGTGTTCAGATCTGAATGCCAAATGACAGTGACCCAAACGTTAGAAAGCACCTTCCAGTTAATATTGCTGATCTGTGTATAAACCATCATAAAAGGATTTCAGGTGTGTACATGAGACTGTGCTCCTTGAAGCATCATAGGAATCTTTGAAGTGGAGGTGTCTCCAGCATTAATAATACAAAAATTTGGCATGATAGCAGGGAATATCTTTATGAGGTGTTGTCAGTTCACCTGCTGGAGCCTTTAAAGTGCTAATTTAGGTATCTCAAACAAACTTAAACCAGAGATAATTTGCAGGCAGGGTTAAGGTGGGAAAAGGAGTTTCTCTTGTTTAAAACACAATAAAAAGAAGACAGAGGACAGGAAAAGAGCACAGAAATTACATTAAATTTTTTTGAAGGTTTGTGCAGTCATATGGTATGTATGTGTCTGCCCTTTGCCCCTCTTGGACTGTTTCTTTAACATCTCTTAACCTGATTAGAAAAAAGGGACTCAAACACAGTGTTCCTGCAGGAAGTTAATGTTTTAAAACAGCCTTTGAGCCAAAGCCTGCAATGAGAGCTGACTTCTCCCATTGACCCTCCATGGGAGAGTGTTCCGTTGCATGTCTAAACTGGAAGTGTTCCCATGTTGAGGAGCAGCAAGAGCAGAGCAAGACAGTAGCTGGAGCTGATGACAGCACGGAGTGGGCATTGATCACCCCAGAACACTGGGGCTGGATGGGCAAAGCTGGAAAGTGAAGGCACCAACCAGTCCCATGGTCATTCCTAGAAATCCTAACATGAACTCAGGGATAGAGCTGTGGCACATCTTGGGCTGGTCCTGAAGGCCTGAGCTGGAGCTGCGGTGGAGCCCGGGGCAGCTTGTGGGGGGTGTCCTGGCCATAGGCTGCAGATCCCCAGGCAGCCAGTGGCGTTACCCTGCTGCCAGCACAGGCGTGTGCTTGCAGCCATAGCCCACACCTCTGTGTCTGCTGTGAACACATAGGCCCAAAGAAGTTGTAGCTGCCCCATCCCTGGTAGTGTTCAGTGCCAGGTTGGACACGGGCTTGGAGCAGCCTGCTCCAGTGGAAGGTGTTTCTGCCTGTGGCAGGGGGTTGGAACTGGATGAGCTTTAAGGTCTCATCCAACTCAAACCACTCTGTGATTTTGTACTTTTTCCAAAGAACCCTTAACAAAATAGTTTCACATACATGCTGTTTCCGATAATGTAGATCCGTGATATATCTTCCTTATCTGAGGAAGGGATGTCTTGCCAAGAGTGAACATAGACATTTGTTACAGCAAACGCTGCTTGCTTTCTGCCCAGTCTGCAGCCTTTGAGGGAACATGAGACACATGTTATTTGCAGAAGCTAGCTATTATTTCAACAGAATTTTGCCCGCATTTCCATACATGATGATTGAGGGTGACAGGGAATTCACATAGTTGTAAGGAGTGTTTTGGAGCTGATAACATCTAGAGCAGGAGTGGGAGTAATTTATACGCAAATTATTTGCCATGTGTGTCTGTTGGTGCCATTTACTACAAAAATATTAATTGTGATTAAATTAATCTGGTCCTGTGGAAATATAATCTTGACAGAGTGCTTTTCTTGCTGCCACAGAATGCTGTTAGCTCACCGAGTTTTATGTGTTGTTAGTAATTTAAGTACTGCACCAGTCAAAATAACTGCAAATTACTGGTACCAGATGTCATTAATGCACAAAAGCATTTCCCTGCCCTAACCTTATTTCCAGTAATGTAAAGAAGATATTGTGCAGTTAATGAGGAAATTAACTGTTACCTGGTAATCTTGAGTTTTGTTTTCTAAAGAAATTGCTTTCCTCTGCATGCAGACCAGCGAATGAATCAGCATTATTACTAATTCCCCCACTGGAGGAACTGGTGGGGAAACTTTGCTGAAGCCTTTTCAGTTGGCAAGTGCAGAGACCTTGAAGTCAGTCTCCTTGTGCACAATCTTAAGTGCAGGAATTAAAATATCACAGAGGGGATGGGGAAATTGAGTGGCCGGGTGAGCTCGGAACTGCTTGCCAAAGGAGATGAGGGAAAGCCTCTGCAACAATGGAGGTACAGACTCAAAGCCCTGTTCCCTGTAATAGCCAGCTGGGATCACATTTGGGGTTCCAATTTTTCCTTGGGGAAGGTGTGCTCTAGTCATGCTGTAGTCTCAGATGCTAAGTTAGGGGGATTATATGAATTAAAAAATTTGCACTATTTGCCTAACTTGAGATCAGCTGGAAGACAAAATCAGGTTTGTTAAACAAGTGCTGGTCTCCAGCAAAGAGTTTTTGCTGGCATTTATCATATTCATGGCTTTGTTTTGTGTTCCTTGAATGCTGCACTAATAATTCCATTCACCTGCACATCCTAAATACTGGAATAATGTTACCACTCCTGCAGTCTTTGGGAGTACACAAACTTAGCCTTGAGCTGGGCCTTAGTCTCACTTGAAATTAATTTTATCACTTGGGGGGAGCGGGACCCAACCCAACCCAACAACCCTGAATTTGGGGATAGTGAAGTTTTCCACAAATTGTCATCCCCTTTGGAAAATGTAGATGTATGAAACTTACTTCTATATAGAAAGCCACCTCTTTTCTGTGTAACCATGGCTGGTTTCCTATGTTTTTACTGAAGCTAACAGTTTTCCCTCCACTATGGGAAGGAATGCATGGTTATGGCTAGAGGAGAGCACAGAGCTTTCAGATGTGCCCCTGTGGAGGTGTGAGGTGCAGTGCTGGCTCATTGCCAAAGTTGTCAGTAGCACAGGAAATAAACACATCAATGTCAGAAAACACTGCAGACTTAGTGGGACAACTTGGAGGAGAAATGTATCAGCTTGGAGTGATCAGCTCTGAGAAGGCATCAGGAGCTGTCAGCACAGCCCAGAGCCATACATGTTTAATGTATTTTGACCCTTTTGATGTTGACAATCAACATTGTTCTCTTCTGTTGCAGATCTGGGACAATTACACTGACAATGATACCAGTCAGTTTGTCGATTGGAGTGGCACTATCTCTCCATATTCTGTTCTTCCTGGTCATGGGATCCTGTCAGAAGCCTTTGCACAGAGTGCACAGAGGGTGTGAAACTTGTAGCTGCAGTCCTACTCTGGAGTGGAACAGAGGAGCATTATTGGGTAATACATCTTGTTAAGGATAGTTTCATGCAACAAGATGTACAAAGTGTAAACTGTCTGCAAAAAAACCCTCACATTAACTAATGATAAAATTCTGAATGCTTAGAAAAGTCAAATGTTAACATTGTGGATTTGCTTTGTCACCACTTCTTTCATTTATCATTGCATTGAAAATCTTTGCACTGAGTTAAAGGTATGATGTAGCTGTGCCAACTGTTCTTTTTCAGCAGACTTTGCCTGTTATGAAGATTGGTGGTGAAACAGGTTATGGCTGTCCAGCAATTACACTGGCACATTGATTCCGTAAGTCTGGAGTGTATATCAGTGTTTAAAACAGTGTTTCAGTGAAACAGGTAAGTCATGTGAAGTGAGGTAGCTAAAACAGTGGTTGGTTTCAGCTATCAAAGAGAGGGAGAATTACATCCAAGGTAAATGGATGATTATGGGTCCTCAGAGCGATGATAATTTTTAATGTAGCATGTTTCATACCAGTAGGAGCTCAAAAGCACAAGATTTCCTCTGTAGTCACTGCAGGTTGCAGATTTTCTGTGGAGTTTGGTCTGACTCAGCAGCATTTACACGCTGATTTGTAGGTTAGGAATAGAGAATGATGCTTCCATTTGAAACTTGATAGAGCTCTCTCAAGGTCCATTCATGTGCGTGAAGTCTGAAGAAATGACATTGCTACCCAATTCTTCTGAGAAGTGCTATGGACACCTTGTGGTATGTATCTCCTCCAGAAAAAGGGAATTAGTAGAAGTAAGGCATGTCCTGGTATCACACAGTAACCTTAAGCAAGGTGCCACCTCCTAGAAATCATTATTTCTCTGGTTTCTCCCAACCGTGCGGCAGACCAAAACTGTGTCTGACTTAACTAATCATATGATTGGAGTCCCATTGGATCCCAGTTCCAGACCATATCACAGCTCTGGTGGTAGTAAAAAGTTCTAATTTACAATGTGGGTAAGAATACAAACAGAATGAGTCCTGCAGGGGTTTCCTCTTGGTAAGCAAAAGCATGCAATGGATTGAAAAGGTGTTAGAGCGGGTGTTTTGGCTGGATCGCAATGGCTTTTTCACGGCAACGTATGAGATGCACATTTTCACAAGTGTCTTTCTCACAAATATTTTCATTAATAAAAAGTCATGAAATATTGATGAACAGGATATTACATAATGTGTTTGTGGTTTTACTACTTATGGACTGGGCTTCCCAGCTATCAGCATGCTCCTGTATGGCGCAGTTGAGTTGAGTGGAACCTGCTAGGAGGTGCAGTTTCTCAAAACCATAAAGTGGCAACTCTTCGGGTCTTGCTTTCTCCTGCCAGGGAGCCCCATGGGATTGAAAACTGGTGGAACTGGGCATTAAGGTCAGTATTTTCTTCATGATGGACACAAGTTCCTATGGGTAGGGAGCATTCTTCCTGCTTTATCCTAAAGCCAAAACCCAGCAGCACAGCCTCATTTCAGAGCGCAGGTTGGTGGAACCATGTTGGCTGCTAGAACATAATTTCATCCAACTTCTACTGATTTTCTCAGTCAACACCACATGCTTTTGTTTTAATCCTGGTTGACTGCTGTTCTCCTAGACTGTGGATGAAATGCACTGCAGATAGGCGACTGAGCGAGCTCTGTCTGTCCCTTCAGTGTGTGTCCTGTCTGAATAAGCACCTATTCAGCACTGGGCTGTTAGGTGGTGACAGAGAGGAAGTGAACACAGGAATTGAAACAACAGTTTTGCACAAATGCCTGTCGGTAGAGCTGGACACCATCTGTAAGAGCTAGTTGCAGAATCACACCATTTGGGAGCCTTTTCACGTGGTTTGTAGCTGCCTCTGCTTCAGATCAGAGCAATTAAGCTAAGAGCTAGAGGCTACATCCAGCCCCCGGGGACAGCTAAGTGATCTGCCAACAAGCAGCAGCAGTTGTCATCTTCACCTGCAGCTGTGGGCAGATTGGAGGAAGGCAACCTGTTCTGTCTGCAGTGTTGGACGAGGCTCTTGTCTATGATTAATTTCCCTGTGCCCAGGGAAAACAAACAGCACAGTACCTGCTCTATCCCTCCCAACTGTATTAATTTAATTAAAATTTGGAAAAACCTGGAGTGAAGGGATCAGTTTGGGGGTGGACTGTGGTTTCAAGAGCAAAAGATGACAGGATTTAGTTCTCAAGTGCTGAAGTACCTTGGGTTTTGTAATTTTTTTCCTCTTAATTTGTGATGGATAAACCCAGTGCGATGAAGTGCAGTACACAAATAGGTTTTTTTAGGATAAATTATTTAGCAGTTGACAAAAATACCTGAATTAAAATGTGATGGAAGTCAGAGCATAAACATTTACAAAGGAGAAGAATCGATAGGTCTAAATATTGCATCTTGAGAAAACACCCACAGAAAGTTTGTTCTTAAAGCAATCCCGCCTCAAGGCATAATAAACAATGTCACCAAAGCAAACAGGAACAAACCAGTATGTTGAAATAGCCTCATTCTGAAGGAGGGTGACAAAGCTCTGTTGCAACTGTGTGATGCCTTTGCTTTAATTGAATGCATTTTGCAGCCATCTTGCAAATTTTCTGTAAGAGAACATGAAAGTTTAAAATTTGTCTTCCCCACCACTCACAGTGTCTGTGAATTGGGGTGAAATTGGAGTTTTGGTAAAATTACTATTTTTCTTTCAATATCCACTAAAATATGGAGATCTGCTGTACAGTCATCTTAACGTTTGGGCAAATTTTAAGATGGGGTTTGTGTTTTGGCAGTAGGAATTGGGTGATGCTGGCTGGATTTCAAGACACTACTTGTATTACAACAGGAAAGGTTGGCTGGGTAAAATGGTAGGAGTTCCTGTAAAGAAATGCTTCATCTCTTTGGCAATTATTTCTCTAATATTAACAAGTTAATACAAGGCAAAGAGCAGTTTTTGTTCCATTGAAGTGGTCACTGGAATCAACAGGCAGTCCTATGCCTGGGTTTGATGGATTTCCTTCAGATGCACTCAGGGACCACAGTGTTCATCCCTTGGCCTGTGTTTTATGCTCTTGCTTAGTTTTTCAGTTCTTTATCATCAGCTTAGGTGGTGGGTTCACAGCAGTGTGAGGAGTGCATGTGCATTGCTTACCTGCTGTCTGTTCCAGCTGTCTGGAGGGGAAGCAAATGGAGCAGTGCACAGCAAGCTCATACCAACTACCTGGGGCACACTTATGCTTCCTGCTACTGTTAGTACCTGGATGCTGTACAGCTCTCCACTGTGCTTTCCTGAAAACACTTTGTGAGATGCTGAAGTGCTTTTAGTTCCACTTCACTAACAGGGAATGGAGCATCTTTACAACCAAAGGAGACACCAGGTCCATTTCAGACGCATTGGAATGTTTTAGACCCCTTGCTTAAGAGGTGAATTCCAGCCTTACTTCAAATAAAGTGTCATGACATCAACAGTTGGCACTGATTTGTAATAGTTTATTTCCAGTTTATGTGGCTGGCTGCACTGCCAGTTCTCCTTCTGAACTGTTGCTGAAATGCTTTGCATTTCATGCAGTCCTTTCTCAGCTGCTACCAACAGCAGGTAAATATGTAATGGTAAGTGGCTGTGCCTTCTGGCATAAAAGACTGCTATTATAACATACACAGCAAATGGCAATACGCGAGTCCAAAACCCATGTGTAGGTTCTGCACTGTACTGGAGTGTGGCAAAGTGGCTTGTTTGGGTGATGGGACTGAAGTCAAGATTTGTTCTGTGTCGTTCCCCCCTCCCTGGCAAATTGCCATCCTGAACTCCAGGTCCATCTGCTGAGGCTGCTGCTGGCAGTGTTGGATCCATGCATGTGCCAGCTGGGGTGCTGGCATGTCATGCGTTTGCAGCCCAGGACTCTGTTTTCTCTTGTGGTTCAGGCTGTTGCAGAGATGTGGGATGTGAGAAAGGTGCTGCAGTGCTCCAGCTCTAGGTGCAGCTTGAGCTCCAAAGCTTCCCAGCTCTCCCTGCACACACCCACCTTCCCCAGGTCCAAGCTTTATGATGCTTCAGCCCCTTCCTGCCCTGCAAACTCAACACATCCATTGGGTTGTCCTTGGGGTCCATGAAGAGCTCTCTGCAGCAGTCTGCCTGCACTACATCCCATCCAGGGAAGTAAATGCTTTTAAATCCAGCCTGCTGTGGGGCCTAGAGGCACTCAAGTACTTAGAGCCAGCAAGAGGGGAGTGGGGAGAGTGAATGTGAATTGCTATTATTAATAATAATATTAATGAAAAAGCTCCCAAAGATCAAGGACTTTGAAATTAATTATTCCTAGTTACCATATACAGCATGAAAAGCAGCTGCCTAAACCAATAATAGGCTTCAAGTCCTTTCCTTATTAAATTAATGTTGTTTCACATCTTCAGCTTTTTCCCCATCTGTGCAAATTTTTAATAAATATTTTAAAGAATAATTAGGGAAGATTCAGGAGAGCAGAAGCAGCAGTGAGCTACTGAGAGAAGAGGGGTATGGAAAAGAACTTAGGAGATACTGAAGCATGTTTGAATAAATATCCTTCCATTTTTATGACTATTATAATTCTTTTCAGATATTCTCATGACCAAATCCTACATTTCTTGTGCATTTAAATCTCCCATTAACCTCAATGCCGCAGTATTCAAAGGACCCAGTCTTGCATTCCGTGCGCTCTTTGGGACTTTGGATTTGTGAGGAATGGAAAATTGTACCTTTAGGATAATCGAGCCATCCTTTTATTCTCAAATTGATAGCAGAGGTTTAAGGTCATCACGTACTTCCACATGAATTATACTTTCTTAAAATATGATCAGTGCCTGGGTTAATCTGAACTATAGATGGGAATTTCACTTCTGCCCATATGGATGAATTTTAATTACCTAGCTCTTCTGTGGTTAGCTGGCTTTTCCTTGAGCACTACACCCTATGTGGGCCAGAGGTGACACCCTGCTTCCTTTGAATTCACCAACAAAATCTCCTGGACTTCACAGGAAGTTCCTCAATCCTCAACAGAAGTACACTGGGAAATATTTACCGTTACCACTAGACTCTTGGGAATTATCCTGGAATGCTGTGCTCATACGCACACCTTTTATTTAGGGAAGGCCATTTCTACCAAGTTTCTCATTTGTGGATATGTTGAACAGCAAGCAAAGATCAAAGGATGGAAGATACGCTGTAGTTGCTTTGTGTACCACTCTGTGCATAATGGTATGATTTTCACATGCTTTTCCATTGTTGGGATTTTATTTATGCCACATTTTTGAGCTGAGAATTTAAAAATGTTTGGAAGTATAGATCATTTAATTCTCAGCAGGGAGTCTCTATTTTTCCTCTCGAAGAATGATGATGATAGAGTTGCAAAATAT